GCATGGAGCGTAAACTCCTTCAGCTCGAGGAGCCCGTAGCGCTGGCCTGTGAGGCGTCCCACGGGGCACCATTACGCGACCACCACACGGGTCAGGACAGTGACCTTTACATGCTAAGATCTCGCACCGAGATACTCTTGTCATGCGGTGCGGCGTTTCAAAGCGCTCTCACGTGACGCTTCCAGACTCCTCTGGCCCCTGTTTGGCCATCACCTAAAAAGGGGCCAACGGTCACCCGTCGCCAAGCAGGGGTCACCCTTCACACGTTGCGCCTGCCGGTTGACGGGTCAGATCGAGTTGGTGAGTTACGTTTCACTGTGTGCGCGAGCAGGCTTGTGCATGCCATGCCAGTTTCAGGTGTCTTGTCTGTTATTGACTTCCTACCTTTAACGTTATCCGAGGTGTGCTGTGTGATCGTGTCGATTAAAGTCGTACAGCCCTAAGCCGGTTGTTGAGGACCTTCACTTTTGCATGTATGTATGTGTATTTGCTGGGTATATTATAAAAACGCTTGTCGGTGTCTGTGCTGTCAAAAATGACGCGATAGTTATGCAGGCTCAGTGATTACGTACCGTTGCATTGTGTCTAAAATCTTGTTCATGGATGGCTTACCTCCCCACAATCACAAAAATTAAGAGCACAATATTCCGCATATAGCCGGGACTTCCAATCACGTATCAATAGACATTTTCCGAACAATATGTGTACATTTTCAAGGGGACGGTCAAAAAAGGGAGACCATAGCGTACAAATACGTGGAGAACACCACGCATATCACGTCACGCCACAGGGCAGAATGGCTGCGACCTTTCATGAGAAGTGATTCCCTCAAACAACTAAATCTGTCGCATCAAGCGCTAAGCTTTGCATGTCTTTGCACGTGTATCGCTAACTTTTTATTTTCACTGACGTCATTACATACGATATTCGTCAAAACGATCAACTGTTCGGATCACTGACACGTCCCGCCGGTGACTACGTTGTGATGAATATAGAAATTGTCCAGGGGTGAACCCTAGATTTTCCCAAGGCCAAATGTAAAACAAAACAAAAACATTCCGCTGTCCGTGTCCAAGCAGTCATGTTTATTGCTAAAATGATCAATATACATAACTTCAAAGAAAAACGAAACTGACTGCTCAAAGCATGTTAGGTTGTCATTATAGTATCGAAAGAGAAAATCGGGCAAAAGCTATTTCATTATCGCAGGGCTGTCGGCCGATCCATATTCTGTCATCCAAATCCCATTTATCACAAGCACGATGTAACAGCTGAATCGAGATATGATGCGACGGTATCTATTGCCTCTTTGACGCTGGCTCACCTCCATAATGCGACGCGACGCTATCGTACAACCCATCGCACATTTCGTTAGCGGGAGGAGGTCATCTAATGCCTCACATTCCAGGCGTTTCGCAATACCAGACACGAACATTCATCTATCGGAAGGGCTCAGAATTCCATGTATTGTATCGCTTGGTCTCAGCTGTTTCCCGTACTGAAACTACCAGATAATTCGACTGACCTGTGGAAATATCTTTTTAAACGAACAAAACACCATGCGGTTCCGAATGGTCGAAATCATGGAGCCTGACGAGCCATGTAAGAAGGCACTGCAAACAGTAAAACATGCTCAAAGGCCGGGCGGTTTGCCATATCCGCCCCTTTGGCAGTGTTTAAAGCACGTAAGGTGCCCAGAAGCGAAATATATCATCATTATCGCCTACGGCCTGGTCCGCAAACATCGTTGTCCAATCGCATGGAAGCGGAGTAGTAATACACGCGAACTCAAAGGTACGTTCGCATCCAAACATGTTAACCAAGTCCTCGATAAAAGCCAGACCAGTGAAACTTTACATACAGGCAAATCAGGCCTTAAACGCCAGAGCAAAGCTAAGCAAGGCTCATTTCTCGTCACCTGATATACACCCCGCCACGGGCGCAAAGCTAGTTTCGTTGTAATTTTATGAAGACCGCAGATAAGGTCATCCGACCTCTCCTAAAACTGACGAACATATTGTATGTTACCACAATGGATAGTTCGTATAACCACGTAGCTTCAGCGCCTTAGTGTACCGAGGCAGCCATTTCGAACATAGAAAGGGCGCTTTGGTTGACAAGCACGCGATCAGGGGACTACGTAAAAGGGCGTTAAAATGTGACTAAGACATACAGTTTCGGAGCACGAAAAGCTGCAAAAAAATGATGACACTCAGAGCCGGAGCTTTGTCCATAGTAATCGGTCGTTCCATCGTTTCATCGTTCATCGATGCGCGAATCATCGACGCGTTCACGCAAATGGCGAAGTAGGCAAACGCAGACATTTGTTGAGCAGTTTACATGTTCAGTGCATTGAATATTGCATGTACAGGTGTCGAAAAATATATGTGTATATATGTATATATATATATATATATACATATATATATATATATATATATATATATATATATACTCACTACGTAAGCTTTTATACAGCCCATATGCACATTATTTCCTAAGCACTGCCACAGAATCCAATCGAACGAGACCTATTGCGGACCTGTGGCACACTGTGTTGTGTCGGAATCGGAGTCAACTCGAAAGCTGCGCTGACCTGCTCTGACGCAGGGTCGAAATCAACTGCGTGCGCCGCGAGTCCGACCCGAAACCGACTCCGCTGTGACGGAATCGAGCACAAGTCTGCATGAGAACACGCTTATCATTTCGTTTCAATTTGAAATGGACTGGCGACTATGAATATTTTAGGCTGCCAGCAAGGGCAAAATTTTACTTAATAAAAATATTTTACTTAAATAAAAATAGCACATTGTCATCGTTTTGCACCGGTGCAGAGTGCTGTCTTTGAGAATCCAGTTCTCCATCCTATCTCTTAACCACAGAGACATCCACGGGAGATTCAGCGATAAAATTAATAAGATCTTGACAGCAGGCAAACTTGATGTTTCTTGATCGCACCTGCCCCGTCGTATTAAAAATACGCTTCTTTGCAGACGTCACTAGATGGTAAACGCGACCAATTAAGGGAGTATCTCAACGTAACGTTGGTTCAGTTCAGTTGCATTGAGCCCTTTGTCGTGCCCCTAGGCACCTTAGAATGTTTTAGCCGCGCAAATAAGTAATGCAGTTGACGCGCCCTAAGAGCTCAGTAGCTCACCAACGAACTAGAATGTTTGAACGTCTGGAACACTCCCACGCCATGTCATATCATGCAAACTACTTACGTTTTAAGTTGCATGCCAATATGTTCTGCAGCAAAGGAAGTCACAAATCCGTTCTCGGCAGAAACCCCCTCCCATCTGGCTCCCCTCAAGGAGATTTCCATCGACGGTATCTGAATACCACAGACAGCTCCTGTTGGGAGAACCAACGTCCATCCCCTCCCAGTCTCCTTCGTGGTAAAGCGACAGCCCACTGTCGGCGGACGTGAATAAGTCACCGCCCAGATTTAGCATCCAGGACGAGATCGCAGGCATTGGAAAGCATTACAGGCGACTGCGGACGTAAGCAGCGTTCGGGTCACTGGGTTCGGTACATCACCAAACTTCGGGAGGTGGGCGGATTTCTGCTTCACTGCAAACATATGACCTAACCTAGCATGGCTTGCATTGACTAGTACTTGTATCGTAGGCGGAGCAGTGGATCCAGCGGCATTCAGTGTGTATTGACAGTGCTGCAGACGACGCAGATTGCTCCGCTTGCCGGCACGTGGAGTACGGCAGCATGGTTAGCACGACACCTATGCCGCACGATCTTGCTCAACGCAAATTATTCTCTCCGCATTCCGTTCGGCACTCCCCTCGTTCATTTTCTGTTTTGGGGAGGGTTTGGAGCAAGGCAGAGTACCTCCGGCTCCATGTATCGAGAACTCTGGCATTATACCCGAAGTTGTTCAGAAACTATGGATCTAGGCCCCTTCATCATTTCACTTCGTAATTTGATTGTGTTGCTTGCAAAGCTTCCTCCAAGCAACACAACTTGTATGCGCCCTGATTCACGTCGCTAACGAGCTGAGGTAGCTACCAGCTGCCTTCGATGTCATATCAAGATGTCGGTTTGCGATTTGTCCACAACATTGACTTCCAAAATTTTCAAACACGATAGTTTTGCACATGGCATAGCAAACGAGAGATATTCTGGATTGGCCATCATCACCCCACTTTCGACGAAGGCTCAAGACTAAGCCCGTGATGATGCACGGGGTCAAATCAAAATTCATTTCGACCCATGCACGTTTAAGGGACGTTCCTCTGCCCCCGGTACGAGCAAACCAAAGATCTGGGCAAGACAAGTAACTACCACCTGTGGCGTAACCAGGATTTTGCCAAGGTGACGAAATTGGGTCGAAGAGGGTCCTTCCTGCCATACGGGACCTCTCGTCACCTTCGATCGTGTTGTTTCATCCGGGGACGTGCGTAGGCTCTAGATCCCATTTTGCTGCCGCGGTGGGTCGTTTTTATATCTTATGATGTCTACGGCTGTCCTGAATCGCCAAGAAGCATCGACGCCTTCGGGCCCAGGTGGAGTCCCACCACTTCCAGGAGCAGGGGGCATAGTCCCGAAAGCCCCCACCCCCCTGACCTCTCCTGCCATCGGCGGGATGGGGCCGGCTTCAAAAGGTCGAGCGAAGTCCCCGCGCAGGCTACGCCTCCCAACACGCAAAAACGGCACATCCCAACTCCCACAACAGCCCTCACAGTATGTACTCACGTTTGCAGGGCTTGGGGTTGCTCTGTTTTCGACGCGACATCCCTGGTGATAAGAGCGCGCGCGCGGCGCCCTCCCCTACACACTATTATCGGACGACTATCCCGCCCGGCTCGGCTTCAGTATCGCAATGTTTATCTCCCTCAGATCACTGACGTCACAGGGTTAAGCTGTTTGCCGTGACGTCATCGTCGTCAGCTGCCTATTGTGTCGACAAAAATGGCGCGGCTGGGCTTTACTCCTAACGCCAATGAATATAGGCCCGTAACAGCGGTTTTATGGGTCACGTCTTGTTGATATTGAGCGTTGTGGGTGTATTCTTGTGCGCCCTCCGTTCCTATGTTTGAGGATGTGTTTAACTTAGGTCGGAGTCGGAGTGAAACCGAGATCAACCAAATTTCATCGAGTCAGGAATCAAGCGATTCATTTCAAACTGTCTGGTGAGTCCGAATAAATTTGGTTAACAAGTCGTCGGTGAGTGGTTCAACCATAAATGTGGGCATTTGTATGCTCATTCTAACCATTTTATGTCCACTTAATGGAGCACAGCTGTAAAGAGTCATTTTTTTATTCGAGCATGGTCATCGCACAAACCAATGAAGCATTGATTCTATTGCCTCAAACACTGCAGATCAGTCTGCAGAAAAAAAACATGGCTACTGTGCCAGGTGTGTGCACAGCACTGGTGCACTGAACCTCACACTTTTGTCTTTCAGGCTTAGGCAGTGCCAAATTGTGCTGAATTTTGAAATTATTTGCACATCAACATTTTTGTGGCATTTTTGTCTGAAGTTATATCCTCAGCATCTTAATTCCATGAAACATTCACTCTGTTTATGCTGAAATGGTGGTGGGTGTTTACCAAATTCTGAGTTCCAAATCGTGGTAGCATGAAGTTTATTGTAGTCTACACTATAGACTGCCATGTTGTAGACAGCTTGTGATGCTCTGATACTCTGATGTACAGATGCCCTAAAGACTGAGAAAGTCATGAAATTGATCATTTATCAAGTAATTCAATTTTCTCCAGAACTGGCTCCATTATAATTGATTCACAAATTGAGCCATATTTGCTTATGTTGTAAATTATTTTGACATAAAGTTGGTTTAAGCTGCTCTGAGTGAACTGCAGAGAATCAGCTCAGTGTTGTGCATTAGAATTGATTTGACTCCCCTGTAGCAGACCAGCTATGCCTCAAGTAATCTCCTTATCAACACAAAAGCTGGCTGCTCTGCATGTTCAAATGGAATTTTAATGAAAATAATGAAATTTATATTATTTGTAGCAGCACCAACAGTGCCTGCCAGCTTCCTAGCACTTAACTAGATGTACAGCAGTTGCACACTTCTTTTTTGCTGATCATGTGTCAGTTTAGTTGATGGTTTTCTACACATTTGTGTGCACTTAGAATGATGTTCTGACAATTGTGATCACCATGTGTTTGTCACACCAAAGGGTTTTGTTGGTGTGCTGGACAGTAAGCTGAGATGAGGTGTGTGATTTGGGAACACACAAAAAGAGAACACATGCTCATTGCATCTGTTACATGTGCCATGCCATGATTGAAGTTGTGAAAGACACACTTTGCTTGCAAGTTTTTACACCAGGAACAGTGAGGCAAAGTCAAATCCATCTAACACAAATGCTAGTGTTCAACCTTGGAGTAAAAGTGAAGTGTTTTTTAGAATGCACTGTCACCACATGAGTGAAGAAGAAACAAGCGCATGGAATGAAACTTTGGTTGTAACTTGAGGCAGTATGTAATGGTAAAGTAGCTTTAAAAGTTTTTGTGGTCAAATGGAATGGTGGAAGTGGACATACTGTGTTATGAAGACCATCTGATTTGTGGGCAGAATTCAGGACACAAGAATTTGATTTTTTAGGATGAGCAATGTTTTGGTTATGCTAGAACTTAGTCAAGGTTTGAAAATTTTAGGGTATTTAAGGTATTGTAATTAGCCAGAAGCATATTTGTACCTACGCTTGATACTTGCGTATATAATTGCCAGATTAACTTTGCTGCTTGTATAGTATGAGTTATAGCCATTGGTCACAACTCCCAACTACAATCAGAACCACCTGATCTCATATAGCCTGATTTTAGTTGCACATTCAGAGTACAAAATGTGAACAGTAATAAAACACATATGTAGGTGCATGTTCATTGAAAAAGGTGAAAACAGCACATATGCCTAAAAGTAGAATAGGTTATTTTTAGTTTATTGTTGAAGGGTTTACCTGATAGGTGGGATATTCCACAGAATCGTGCAGGCATGTGTTGTGTGTCTGGTGTTACACCCTTACCGGTATAGGTGGCATGTGTCGGTGTTACAACCTTACTTGTATAGGTGGCATGTGTCAGCACTTGCTCAAATGATAGCTTGATGCATTTCTGTTCCAGTGATGGCTGAAGAGGAGCTGGAGGCTGACTATATTTTAGCTGTGCCTGAGGAAAATCTGCACTCAGATACTCTTGGTAAGATGTTTAAGGATGTTTCCACATTGCTTTAACTTCTAATATTGCTATCTAGTTCTGCAGTGATGTACACATTTCAATATTATCAATTATTTGTGATGTACTAACCTAAAAAAACTTGTGCTGTTATTGTGTGCTTTGGGCACCAAACAAAGAGTTCACAGGTGGCATACATGAATGAATGAATGAATGAATAGTTATTTGATATTTGAATATTGAATATTTGAATATTTGATGAATGAATGAATATTTGATAATTTGGTCATGACCTGTCAAAACAGACAACATGAACAAAACTGTGGTGTGAATTGGGAAACACAAATATACCCAGGAAAGAATGATTGGCTTAAGTGCTGGCACCTCACAGGGTGTTTATGTGATATGTTCACTTCAACAGTTGCTTACGTCATGCGCACAGTATCTTCCTGGTTGGATTGACATGTCTGTCTCATGTTTTAGTGTCCAACACAATCACCTTGGATGAAGAGGACATATTCCAGTGTGGCAGGTGTCGAACTCAGTTCTCTGCTCTGACAGACTTTGTGGTCCACAAACAGGAAGAATGTGGAGGTAAATGCTTGGCTGCGCTGACCTGGATTTGACACACAACTTCCACTCTTCAATTGAAAGTGTCACCATACATGTCATAGTCCAGTGTTAATCATGTGACATTCATGCCATAATGTAATCATGCCTGTGTTGCGACTCAAGCAACATCACTGCTTCCTGTATTCAGTGTTTGATTGTACACAAGACGATGTAACGAGTTCAATTTTGTGTTCTTGCTGTGCTGCTTGAGCCGCCCACCCGTTATCGGCAGGTCTGCCCGGCGCCATGGTGTCGACGCTGCCCCCCGCCGCGCCCCCACCGCCGCCATCTCCTCCGGCGCCGCCTCCGCCGTCGTCTGGCGCGGCCCGCTGTGGGGAGAAGCTGGTGCGCACGTACTGCCGCGTGGCCCCGGTCAGTGGTAGGGCGACGATGAGGCGGGCCCCCGCGCCCTGCCGGCACCGAGGGCGGCCCGCGTTCGCCCACCGGGGGTGGGGGGTCCCCGTACTCCCGTGGGGCCGGAACGTGCTGGTGGGACCGCCAGCACGTCCCCCCCCCCCCACCCCCCACCCCCGGTCCCGATCAGCGCCGGTGCCAGGTGTGAGGTCGGGCGTCTGGGGTCTGGAACTGCCGGTCACATAACTCGCTGTTGTTACGCTGGGGTGTCTCAGCATGTTACCGATTGTGCCGCATGCCGGGTGCCATTCATTCGTGACGCGGGCGACTGCTGCGGCGCTAACGACGAGGCAGTGCTGCGTCGCACGAGCACAAGCGATGCCGCGTGCAACGCGTTCGGTCCAAGCACAAGGACGTTTGCCTCGTTTGTAGAGCGGTGGTAAGTTGGGTCAGGCAATTCCGACGCCAGTAGTCAGCGGTCAGGAGGCGCTCTCGCCCCGAGCACGACAGTCCGCCGCCCCGCCGCTCAGTCTGCCTGTGACGTCACGCTTGGCAGTGCCGTTGCCACGCCCCGGGGGTGTCTTATCAGACGGCGGGGCGAGCCCCCGACATTCCACCGCATGATGACACCGTTCTTAATCACGCTGGAGCCGGCTGCAGGCGCCGGCGGGTGGCCCGCTACGGCACCTCCTGATATGGCGGCGTCGCACCTCCTGATATGGCAGCGGTGTCGTGTCAGTCGCGTGTGTGGTGTTACCAAGCTGCAGGTGATGCTAGCCTCGCCGCCGACGTACCTCGCCCCGCGTGATGGTGTCATGATGACGTCACTTACAACCGCCCGGCCCTGGCAGACGGTGGCCGACCGACCGCTGACGCACGTGCCGCTGGATGATGACGTCACCTCGCCGCCTGGTCAGCTGTCCGAGCGTCTTATTCTCGACAACGACGCGATGCAGTTCTCCATTGAAATTCCCGACTCAGAAGTCCAGGTGCGGCGCGGCGTGGCGGGTGGTGGCGCTGGTGGTGCAGCGGCGGTGGCGCCGTCTGTGACGCGTGTGATGGTGGCCTCCTCCACAAAGGCACGTGCGTCCGGGCCGTCGCGGGCCACTGTGTTTTGGGCTTGCTCAGTGGTCTCGGTCTCAGCTGGTCCCCGAGCCGGCTTTGACAGGTTAGCCCACGTCTGTTCATCCTCCGGGAACGGACTGGGACTCATCACCAGGGCCTACTCAGAAACACGGCACGGAAGTGGTTTTGAAGCTGATGGTCGGAAATATCAGCAGGCGCCTCGTGCAAAGCTGACTTAAACTGAACGCGCTTTTCAAAAACAGCTTCCAGAACGTCCACAATTTTCCATAATAAAGGAAATTTGCCGTGCTTTTCAAAAACAGCTTCCAGAACTTTCGCAATTTCCCATAACAAAGGGAATTGGCGACAGAGCATGCAGATGTTGTTTGTTGGCAGTGCAATGTGGGCTTGCCATCAGGGTAACGCCTGTCTCAGAGAGGGTGAACTGAGACAGGTGCAGATGAGATCTGCATAGTTGCCCGAGCTTAGGTCACCTACTGTATTAGTGGCCTCGCCTGCTGCTGCATTCTTTAAATGTCCGTGCCTGATGTGCATCTCACAAGCGTCTTTGTGGTGAAATCCGCACACGTCACCCGTTAGATAAGACAGTGGTAATAGCCTTATTCCTCGGAGAAAAACCATGACCATGGAGACATATTTTTCTCCGAGGAACAAAGCCATTACTGCTGTCTTATCTATGTGGATAATATTCCTCGCAAATGCATTTGACGACTTACGTCACTCGTTAGGCATATTCTCGTCACGGCTCTGATCGACGCACGCCCCGGAGGGCGGACCGCCTGAGTCGGTATAGCCGCATGTACCGTGCTGTCGCAAGTCTCGCCCCCCTGTTGTGTGACGGGTGTTACGAAATACGGCTGGGCGGGTATGTCATGATCCTCCCGCGGTGTCACGAATTTATCCTCAATCATGGCCAGCAGCAGCCTGCAAACTGTGTGCTTTGTGTCTTTCACTCCTGGTTTGTCTTGTCCGCTGACTGACGTCCACACCTTGTCAGGCCCTGTTACCGAAGTCATTGGGTGTATTCATACCGTAAAATGAACATCATAACCGCCATATCCACTCTGAGTTTCTCGTCTGTAGAGAGTTGCTAACAGCTTGTCATTTATTTCTTCCCAACAAGCGAACGCACTTACTTTTCGTAAGATCTGATCGTCGCCACCAACACCTTCCACATCGCCGCCACCATCATCATCTGCAGCCAGACCCGCTTGTCCACAGACGGTGGCCAACATCCTGCCGCTGCGGCAGGAGGAGCCGGGCCCCGCCCCACTGCTGGCTGAGGCCGAGGAAGTGGGTCTGGCGCTTTTGGCCACGGAGCAGGCCGCCGCCGCCGGGGCATCCCGCCAAGAACGAGTGCGACATCTGCCACAAGGCCTTCAGCAAGCGCTTCGACCTGCAGCAGCACCGCAGGAAGCACACAGGTGCGTTCGTGGGATTGGAAGGGACAGAGCGGGGCGACGACTCATACTCTTCCGACAGATGCGCTTTTTGCCATCCTCATGCTTGAGTGTGTCGGACTGTCAGCTAATGAAACAAAATAACTTGATAAATGGCGGTGTGTTTCGCATTGCAGTTGCTTTATGTATGTAGTTGTGCCTGGACATAGCCGTGACGCTTCCCGGGGCATTCGACATGAAGGGAAGCTCCGGTGTTGTATGCAGGTTTGTGGTCGCGCCTGGCGTTTTGGTGAGTAACCGGGGGCGGACGCTGGGGATGTCGACGGCTCCCGCATTGCCTACAACTGCTAATCCGGCCATGCACTGAGTGCCAGGAGCGTCACTGTTGGGGTGCGGGGGGAAGGGGGCAGTAGCTGTGTGGGACTGTTGGCCCCTGTGATTTTGGGGGCAGAGGTGGTTCTATTATTTCAACAACTCGCTCCTCCCCCCCCCCCCCCCCCCCCCCGGTATCTCAAGTCGCCCCTCCTCTGATAATCAGTAGGCTCTTAGGCTTCCGGTACGGTGACCCCCTGCCTGCGCCGAGGCTGTCGCTCGTGCCGCCCCTGCCTGCGCCGAGGCCGTCGTTCGTGCCGCCCCCCCCCCCCCCCCCGCCTGCGCCGAGTCTGTCGCTCGTGCCGCCCCTGCCTGCGCCGAGGCTGCCGCTCGTGTCGCCCCTGCCTGCGCCGAGGCTGCCGCTCGTGCTGCCCCTGCGTGCGCCGAGGCTGCCGCTCGTGCCGCCCCTGCCTGTGCCGAGGCTGCCGTTCGTGCCGCCCCTGCCTGCGCCGAGGCTGTCGTTCGTGCCGCCCCTGCCCGCGCCGAGGCTGCCGCTCGTGCCGCCCCTGCCTGCGCCGAGGCTGCCGCTCGTGCTGCCCCTGCCTGCGCCGAGGCTGCCGCTCGTGCCGCCCCTGCCCGCGCCGAGGCTGCCGCTCGTGCCGCCCCTGCCTGCGCCGAGGCTGCCTTTCGTGCCGCCCCTGCCTGTGCCGAGGCTGTCGCTCGTGCCGCCCCTGCCTGCGCCGAGGCTGTCGTTCGTGCCGCCCCTGCCCGCGCCGAGGCTGTCGTTCATGCCGCCCCTGCCCGCGCCGAGGCTGTCGTTCGTGCCGCCCCTGCCTGTGCCGAGGCTGCCGTTCATGCCGCCCCTGCCCGCGCCGAGGCTGCCGCTCGTGCCGCCCCTGCCCGCGGCGTCACCGGCCGGCCTGCCCGCAGGCGAGAAGCCGTTCCGGTGCCCGGTGTGCGGGCGGTGCTTCACGCAGAAGTCCAACCTGAAGCGGCACATCGAGTCGCACCGGGTGTGGCCGGGCGGGGCCAGGGAGACGCTGCCCACCGACCCGGCCACGCCCGACACGCATCAATGCCGCCACTGCCAGCAGACGTTCGCCAGCTACGCCGGCTTCAAGGCTCACCTGCGCCAGCACGCCGAGATCAAGGTCAGCGGCAGGTGGCGGAAGGGGGGGGGGGCGGAAGGGGGCGTGGCTTAGACTGGGGTCAGCGGAGACGCGTAGTGTCAGAGGAGGTGAAATTCTGGCGGCGGGAGGTCACCAGTGGGAGGGTTACTCAGGTCACTGGTATGTCTGGTCAGTGGCTACAGGTGGGTGCAAGACCTGGAGACTCTGAGTTCAAACTTAAGCCAGGCATGTGCTGAATCTGCTGTAGTATGGAGGCATTCTGGGCTCAAAACTAACTTGGCGGCGGAAGCGGATGATCCGAGGCTTAGAGCCAACCCCACTACGCGACGGACGCAGACATCATCGACCACATCAGCAATAGTTGACCCGTGCCTCAGGAAGTTGCATGCTGACATGCAAGTACAGGTGTACCGGCGTCTCCGGTTCAACTGTGGTGCCATCTGTCGGTCGGTCTGACGTTGCCTGCCGTCGCCAGGTGTACCGGCGTCAACGGCTCGACTGTGGTGCCATCTTTCGGTCGGCCTGACGTTGCCTGCCGTCGCCAGGTGTACCGGCGTCCCCGGCTCGACTGTGGTGCCATCTTTCGGTCGGCCTGACTGCCTGCCGTCTCCAGGTGTACCGGCGTCGCCGGCCCGACTGTGGTGCCATCTGTCTGACGTTGCCTGCCGTCTCCAGGTGTACCGGCGTCGCTGGCTCGACTGTGGTGCCATCTTTCGGTCGGCCTGACGTTGCCTGCCGTCGCCAGGTGTACCGGCGTCGCTGGCTCGACTGTGGCGCCATCTGTCGGTCGGCCTGACTTTGCCTGCCAGTCTCCAGGTGTACCGGCGTCGCCGGCCCGACTGTGGTGCCATCTGTCTGACGTTGCCTGCCGTCTCCAGGTGTACCGGCGTCGCCGGCTCGACTGTGGTGCCATCTGTCGGTCGGCCTGACTTTGCTGCCGTCTCCAGGTGTACCGGCGTCGCCGGCCCGACTGTGGTGCTATCTATCGGCCGGACTGTGGTGCCATCTGTCTGACGTTGCCTGCCGTCGCCAGGTGTACCGGTGCCCCCAGCGCGATTGCGGCGCCACGTGCGAGGACCAGGACGGGTTTCTGGAGCACCTGCGGCGCCACCACGCCGACCTCGAGTTCACGTGCCACGTGTGCAGCCACGTGTTCAGCTCGCTGCGGCTGCTCAGTGACCACGTGGCGGAGCGGCACGGCGGCCCGGCCGACGCGGACGACACCGGCACGGGGTGAGCCAGGGCGCCACCGAAGCCTGCACGCGCTCACGGCAGCGGAGCATGCTGGATATTTTAGCGACGTGCTTCTTTGGCTACTGGGTCCCTGTGTGAGGTTCGGATTCACTAGTGGCTGAAAATCGTAATGGAAGGCTGAAATTTATTCCGTTTTTGAAAGCCTGTTTTCCAGCCGTCCATTTATGATGCGTGAAGCTATGCTCACGGTCATCGGGAGATCGTAGGTAACCCTGGCTCCCAGTGCTGCTCAGAGCTCAACACTGAGCGACGTTGGGAGATCGCAGGTAACCCTGGCTCTCAGTACTGCTCAGAGTTCAACACAGGGCGACATTGGGAGATCGCAGGTAACCCTGGCTCTCAGTACCGCTCAGAGTTCAACACAGGGCGACATTGGGAGATCGTAGGTAGTCCTGGCTCTCAGTGCTGCTCAGAGTTCAACATAGAGTGATATCGGGAGATCGTAGGTAACCCTGGCTCTCAGAACTGCTCAGAGTTCAACACAGGGCGACATTGCGAGATCGTAGGTAACCCTGGCTCCCAGTACCACTCAGAGTTCAACACAGAACGACATTGGAAGATCGTAGGTACTCCTGGCTCTCAGTGCTGCTCGGAGCTCAACATAGAGCGACATCGGGAGATCATAGGTAACCCTGGCTCTCAGTGCTGCTCAGAGCTCAACTTAGAGTGACATCGGGAGATCGTAGGTAGTCCTGGCTGTCAGTACTGCTCAGAGCTTAGCACAGAGCGACGTTGGAAGATCTAAGGTAGTCGTGGATGTTAGCACTGCTCAGAGCTCAACGTGGAGCGACACAATGGCCCGCACCTTAAAACGTTTATTCTATGTGCAGCCATGTCCATAGTTACGACAAAAATGTCTGATCGAATCAAATGTGTGTCCCGAAGAAGATGTAGTGGATCATGACGGTATTAGTTAGGTAGGTAATGTTGTTTGAGCTGTGCCTATGTGGCATGCATTGTGATACAGACACATTGGCGTCGATAAATGCAACTTGCAACTGTACATGAGTTCCACTTTTTAAGCTTGTTTCACTTTGCACTGATAGTTAAAAATGTTGGTACCGTTACGACAAACCTCTATTGGCTCAAATCCTCCTGTGGGATGCACCCGTGCCGCGGTGCAATACACCCGTTGCGCGGTGCAATACACCCGCGCCACGTTGATCTCAGATGGTCTCGGGGAAACTGGGCAACGGCCACGGGCTGGAAGTGAACTAACGCAATACTGGCAACCATTGCGACACCTGGTGTCAGTGTCACGTGACTGAACGCCGTGTCCTGCCCGCAGACCGTCGTTCTCCTGCCCGCGCTGTCAGAGTCGGTACTGCACGCTGGCCGCGCTCGAGTACCACCTTCAGATCAGCAGCCACAGCTACGCCTGCAAGCTCTGCTCCAAGGTGGGCTGGCCGACTCCTGCATGGGCAGTCACGTGCCCGTCGGCGTGCTCCGGTGGAAGGTGTTGCTTTGATGTGTGATGGCTGTGCTCCGGTGTAAGGTGTTGCTTTGATGTGTGACTGCCCGACGATGTGACTTGGTGAAAAGAGCCAGAGGGTGTGATTGGATGGTGCTTGTTTATGCTTAGCATTGCGTTTGATTGCATCACAAGAGGGGGTATCCATCACTAAACGCTTCCATCACAACAGAGGCATGATAAACATTGTCCTGCGTGGCCATGTCTACAGCGCGGACGCGTCCGAAGTGAAGCTGCCAGAATGGCGTGGGCTGTGACTGTCGCCGCGACGTGATGTGTGTGACTACTGCCTCTCCCCGTGCATTCGGTCTTTCGGTATAGCATGATCCATCCTTTACCTGCTCGCCGCGCCGACATTACCAGTGGTCGTACTGGGTCGCTGGCACGTGCTGGCGGCCGGCGCCACACTCACCCAGCTGGCTCAGGCAGCAGAAAAGCTTCGCTCCGGAGCATGGCGAAGGCTATGCCGGGTGGGCCTGGCAGTCGGTGTCCGGGTGGACTGGCGGAAGCTGTGTTCCGTTTGTTGTGCTGATTTTGGTGCCTAGTGTCACGGATTTAAATGACCTCTGACGGGTCGGGAGCCCTATGCGACCAAAACCCCGTCATGTGCCAACTGACAGTGCACCTTCCAGACTGTCGACACGGGAGACAGCTGGCGTTGACCGCAGCTTCGAACCTTTTTGCGGCCGACTGTATGGTCATCACGTGCCCACCGACCATCCATGTACTCGGTCTCCAACCCACCCATGGCCCGCCGTTTACACACCGCTGATCCGCATCTGACCCGCGCCCGGTCCACCCCCGTTTGTCTGTCATTGGGGCTTTACGACGCACTCAGCTGCTGAAGCTATATGGCGTCGCCTGCCTCTCACCCTGGCAGGAAGGGCGGGCACCGCGGGGAATCGAGCCACGGCCATTTCATGTCCCACAAGTTCATCTCGACCGCATGTGATCAAATGGCAAATCTCTCCTGTGGTTAAGCTGCACGACTGGGGAGCCAGAGGTGCGGGTTTTGATTGTTCGCGGTGCCTGCCCTTCCTGCCAGGATAAGAGTGAGAGGCAGGTAACTACAGCTGAGTGCGTCGTGAAACCCAAGTGCCAAATGGACCACGTGTGGTCTTGCTCTTAACATCCCTACACAACATACAGTATAGACTCACTCGCTCCAAGCTCATCCGGTCTCTTTGACCGCCCCTTCTCCGACCCTCTGACCTGACCAATGACCACGTGACCCACGGTCACCGACCTTCCGGTGCTCTGACCCTTAACTCGCTGTTCCGAATCCATGATCCCTTGACCCAACTGACTCCATGATGGCTGACCCTATGCCCTAAATCCCGGAGGCGCTGACCTTTTGACCCGGCACGGCCAGGTGTTCAGCTCCGAGCGGTTCCTCCGACGCCACCTGCAGACGCACGCGAGCACGCCCCGACACCGCTGCACCAAGTGCGCCAAGGCCTTCAACACCAAGGGCTACCTGCGCGCCCACATGAACACCCACAGCGAGCAGCGACAGTTCGTCTGCGACAGTGAGTGTCGCCGCGGCGAGCTGGCTGCAGAAGGCAGCGTTTTGGATTTCTGAGGAGGCGAAGGGTGAGACTATTATTATTAGATGACGCTATTACTGCTGCACTGGAATTGAAACGCCGTCACTTTTCGAGGGACCGGTTCCGATGTGGTTTTCGTGGAAAGTTACAGCTGGGGTGTGAAAGGAATTCACATCCATTTAAGAATTAGATTGGCCGTGGGAGTTTCGCTGCTGGATGGGGTTCGTATGATATCGGTAGAGGAGGTAGACAATGTGATAATTCGTAGTGATCGAGACGCCCGTGCGATATCATACTGAACTACAATGCAGTTTATTTGCGGACATTTTCATGGGAATGTCGATGTGCCTTTCTGATAACAAGTTTGATGACAAAGCGGCAGGCGTCGATAAGTGCGGTGTTAACAAGACAACAATGTTTCGATCCGTTTTTCGTCCTTTGGCAAGTTCTGTATTTATATCGGTCTAATTGTGTGGCCCGAGAACATTTCAGCTTGCTGGGCTGGGCTCACTATCTGTTGTACATTTTTCTATTCGTTGTTGATGTGCGTCATCCATTGCTCAACGTATGTTATTGGGCGATGAATGGCCCGCCGCAGGAGGTGCTTCACAAGTGTACACCTCCCCTCTGCGTGCATCTGTTGCGCCCGGGTCGCCTCCGCCACTCTATGTCAGCTCAGCTGTCTGGGCATTGTGCTAAAGGTGATCACGGTTTGTTTGTTGTTTTTTTTAGGTGTTTATTTTCATAACTGGTGAATGTGCTCAGGCTTTTAGCTCAGTTTTTTCGCCTAACGCCCGCTTCCCCCACGTGAAAGGTTGAAAGCGTGGGGTGTCCAACCCCATGGACTGGGAAAGCTTTACGGATGGATAAAAGCGTCCGGCCGTACTCGGCAGCGTGCAACAGGCGGTTCAAGCGGCGGGATCAGCTGCGGAGGCACCAGATGATCCACAGCGAGCGGCGCCTGCTCTGCCCGTTCCACGCGCACAACGGCTGCTCGCGCACCTTCTCCCGCACAGGTGACGCCTCTGGCGGCCGGTGGGTGTGGCCACCTCCAGTGCGGGCGGAGGCACCAGGTGGTGACAGAGCGGTGTGTGCTGCGGCTCCGGCGTTGTGCCTGGTCGCGCTCCCCGACACTGGTGGTGGCGGGCACCGCTCCGCGTGCGGCCAGTGCCGAGTCGGGGCCGTGTGGGCCCGCTCGCAGGGCTAATGCTTGGCGGCTGGGGCGGAGGGTTGAAAGAGCTGGCTGGCGTGACCAGATTGATGTGAACTTGTGCTCCAGCTGCGCGATTCTGTGCATGTTTGATAGTTGTGCATAACACGAATTGTGACGATTAGCTGTGCACCTGATAATCTGAATTGGCGCAACATTAATCGCGGCTATGCTATATTGTTGACGACGTTTGCGTTGGGTGTACGAATTATGCAGATTCCAGCTCGTCATGTTCTAGCCTTGAAGTGCTCTGCGAGATCTGTTTCGCTTGATGTTATGAAATGACTTCACGTATAGCTCCCACTTGCGCTCTAATCGCGGCAGTCTGTTTACCAAACGATGTCCATCGCGCCTGCTCGTCACTCGACGCGAGCACCTTCGGGCGCCGTCGTGTACCGTTTCAGCGGTCTCTTCAGTCTGAACGGCTGCCGAATAACGCCGATCAGTCTTCACGCTGTAGAGCCCAAATAACCATCCCCACCGCCCGGGGCGGAAGGTTCCTTGGCAACTGCGTGCACCGCCAACGGAATGACATTTTCGGTCCGCGGAACTTGGGCGGCGCTCTGACCCGGCACTCTCGGCATCCACCCCGTCAGTCCCAGGTGTGCGGAGTGGTGGCCGTCCATGGCCGCCTCCACCCTCAGTACGCCGGCGTGACCCTGGCGCGGGCTGGTTTCAGACAAGCTGAACCTTCACGTGGTGACGCATGCGGCGGCGCGGCACAAGTGCAAGACGTGCGGCAAGCTCTACAGCAGGCTGGACGCCATGACCAAGCACAGCAAGCTCTGCGCCCGGCTGGCGCCCTGCGCCTCCTGTGGCAAGGTAGGGTGGTGTCTTGAAGCAGGTGTGGGTGCAGGGGTACGCACCGGGAGCGGCCGTGACTGGCTCTGTCACATGTTTGCGTGTGAATGTGTCGTAAAGCCAGTGGGCAATTCGCTGAAGACGCAGAGATTGCCTGCGGCTGCGCTGTATTTGGGTGCGACTGTGTTGTTAATGAATAAAGCTATGTCTTCTGACAAGGCTGGTGTCAGATCTTTTCTCACATGTAGGTCAAGGCAATGAGGGGAGGATGCCTCACCAGAGATTTTGATCTTAACGGCTCTGACTTTTACTATCAGCTCTTGTCACGATCGCGGACTTAGGGCTGGCCTCATGATGCCAGTAAGTACATCCCCTCGCCCTCGCCGGGCGGCTCGTGTGACCGTTCGGCCGGCTCGCCGCAGGAGCTGACCCCGGCCCAGCTGGCGACTCACGCCTGCCAGGAGGACAAGCAGCTCGAATGCGACGTCCGGCCGCCGCCCGAGTGTGACGTCATTATCACCGAGGGCGGCGAGCGGCGGCCGGCCGGCGCGCGGCCGCCGTCGCCGCCGCCGTCGCCGCCGCCAGGGGCGCTGGCGTCGGCCGCCGCCGGCCCCGCCGCCGCCAGTCCGCTCGTGCTGTACGTGCCCGTGCTGGAGGAGGAGGGCTCGCGCATGGAGCTGGTGTCGGCGCTCACCATCCTGGGCGCGGCCGACATCGGCGGCTACGGCGAGCGCGTGCTGCTCGAGGACTCGGTGATCGCCGCCGAGAGCGTGGACGTGGTGATGTCGGACGTGGGCGACGGCGCCGCGTGAGGCGAGCCGAGAGCAGGGCCTGGCGGGGCGCGGTAGAAGTGACGCAGGCAAGCGAGGCGCCACCGGTAAGGGGGCCGCGGCCCCTCAATGGTCTTGAAAGCTAGCGTTATGGCGTGACGTTGGTGGAGAAAATGGATGTGAAACATCGTTATCCCCCCTCCCTCCCACACATACATACACACAAAATGTCACAAGCTGCCAAAACGTCGAGGGTGGCACCGTAAGCTCTTGGGAATGGGAACTGTGGCTTTGGAACAGACCGTGCCTCCCAAAACAGTTTGTCATTTTCTAAAGCGTGGGGGGCGTCATAACGGTCGAAGCAGTTTGCTGTCTGCAGCGATGTAGAACCGCCAGTTCTGCAATGGGCACCTCAGTTCCCTGGCCACAGACGCCGTTGCATGGCTTCTGCTGCAGTGGCAGGTCACCGTTGGTAAGCAGGGCTCCCGCGGGCAAATGATTGCAAAATGTTGCAGTGCAGTTAGCAAGTTGCGTGTCGTCAAAAGCAAAGTTACCATGCTGATCTGAAGATGCCATGATCTGTATGCACACGCGTCCAAAGCTACGTGCGTGTGCGCTCAATTCCCGTATGAAGTGATGTCGGCGCTCAGAGAAAACAGTGCGGTAGTTTTGATGATCGCTGGTGTCGTGTTAAGGGCAGCTGGGCAGAGGCGGGCCTGCAGGGGTGTGTCAGCGACAGTCTGCTGCTGACGGCGTGGGGAGGCGCCTGACGGATGGACGGCGGGGCAGACCAGGCCGGCGTCCTCAGCCACGGTTTGGAGGGGTCGCAAAGCACGGACAACGCGCACACCGGATGTCGGGCGCTGACAGGGCCAGCTCGCCCTCCCGCTCACTGTCGACCTGAAGGGGCTACGCTGACAGGGACAGGTCACCCTGCCGCTCACTGTCTTGACCTGAAGGGACTAACGCGTTTAACGTGGGAGTTCCCGTGTGGAGGCGTGGTGGCTGCCTCTCTCCGTCACAAGGTCATGCTCTCGGCGTAGTTGGATGTTTCGAGTCGCTTTTTTGTCGTTGGGCACGCTGAAGGCATGACTTGGGTCGGCTGGCTGGGTGTGTGGACCGGCCCGTTGGCTGTTTGTTTCGGTCGTCGGCTTGTTGAAGGCGGCGGCGGTCTTCAGTGTTGAGCGTGCTTTTGTGAAGGTTGTCCGTTATTGGGCAATGCCGTTCGCCTGTGGCGGTGGCTTGTGTGCACCAAGCTTGATAATCACCGCATTTTGTTGTTTTGCGTGATGTGCGAAATTCGTATCGCATGTACACAACGGCTGCCGCGTCAATCTTTGCAGCATTCCTCGTTCGCTTGCCGGTCCGATGGAGCTTGCTCTCCTCTCTTGCGCTGTGGCCCAGCTAGCGTGTCAGATTTTGTTGTCTTCATTGTATTGGTGACTGTGTCAAAGCATTATGTTTTTGTCGATCGTATTACATTCACGTCACACGCCCAGCGTCCTGCCATTCTGTTCATGGTACCGTTCAGCTGTTCATTTCGTGTACAGCGTAGCCCTCATTGCATTGTGGTTGTGCAGATCCGCCGGAGACGTTTTGATGTCTTTCGTCGGTCAAACGCGACCCTGCGGTGCACGGTTCGGAGGTGGAGCCGGTTTCCCCGCTAACCGAAGAGGCGTTCATCAGCATGATATCGAATTATGTACAGGAATACGACGTATGATGTAATTGGATAGCACAAATTGGTTGTCTCACTGCCACTCTTTGTCCCTGGGCATTGGTATACGGTACCATACGGTAAAAGCTCGGGGAAATCTTACTTCGTTGAGGCGCTTTACAACGCCATGGGGGGGGTGATGTTCAATCTTACCAAAGCTGCCGGGACGTGCCGCCCGGTTCGCGCCCCCCCCCCCCCCCCGCCCCCCATCGCTGCTGCGGCGGAGCCCGCGTCGCATGGGTCAATAACTGGGCAGCCGTTACTGCTTCAAGACTGGTCATGAGCAGTATCCTGTTATTTTTGTTACCATAGGTAGCATGCACTTTGTGTTCAGCTTTGTATCGGTGCGTTGTTGCCTAAAGACTATTGTTGTACTGTTTACACATGGTATGCTTTATCATCTTCAAACCGGATGTTAAAGATCGAAGAAGCATGAAACTCAAAATGTGCGCCGACAGCAAGCGTGCTTTGCTCTGTTTAAAGCACCATGCTCATATGTGAACGATGTTGCCCACTGAGCCCGCGCTGGCGGTCCGCAGTCACAGTCATTGTGTTTGCCATGCTGCTCATCACGAGAATATAATTACAGTGCGATGCTCGTCTGTTTTGGTGCGTGCTTTCGATTTTGTACTTGTTCTAGCGCATTTCTTTTCATTCCGCACGGCTGCGTCGAACTCCAGGGCGCTCACAAACGCTGTTAACACGGGCACAGCTCTGATGCCACTGATTGCGTAATGGGGCGGAACCTCCTTGGGGATTGCGCTCTTATAAAACTACCAACTAACTAAACCAAAACCATGCAGTCTGAGTCCCATGTCACACGTACACGCACAGGCGCAAAACTTATCTGGTGTGGATCATCTGCAGCAGCTCGCTTCACAATTCTACCACATCGGGTTCACCAGGTCCCCGGCCACGATCCCCCTACACGCATTCGGTTTCTAACCATTCCCACCTTCATCGTGGATGGCGCTTTGTATGCTCGGAGAGAAATGTCAGTCCGGTTCTTAAAGTTCTGCATGAGCCCTACACTTCTCCGATTGTGAGAAACTCCGCAACAGTTCTGCTGCGGCGGTGAGCGTCGCAGAAATATCTCAGCGTACATCAGCTAGTCGCGGAAGTAGCGCCACCTATTCGGCATTGTGGCGCCAGCTATATGTATAGTAGGGCTGCGTGCTCAGGCGGAGCTTTTCGAACTCGGACGCATTTTTGCGCTGACTGGGGTGGCAATATGTTGTCCTGTTGTCACATTGAAACCGCATATTGATGCGGCTCCGTTCCAACCTAGATTTGGCGGCGCGGGGGGGGGGGGCTGCCCAACACGAATAAAAACGAGTGGAAGTTTGGGATGGCGACTTGTCGGGACGTGCGGGATTAATGCCGCCAGCAGTTAACTAATTGGCACCGTTAGACCTAAAACTAGATAAAGACGATGCAACGAAATTACAGAGCATGGCTCTGAGAACCAGCAGTAAGGGTCTAATTAGGTCAGTGTCATATGATGATATCAGAGTTCGATCTGATGGTCTAGTAGGGATAATGCTTTGCAGAGAGGTGAGTCGAGCGAACGCGTATCTGCGTTATGACATATTCATTAATTAGGGACATATTTACAGTGTTTTTGTCGGATACAGCCTGGCCAAACCCTCTAAATCGTTGAACTGAGATGACCTGGACCCAGAATTTCCAAAATGTCCGTAACATTTATGTGGGAGAGGTCGAGAGGATAGCAGAGATGGCAGGAAAGTGATGCGAACCGTTCTGGAGATGCTAAAAAAATGTCACAGAGTCACTGATTCCTGCCTCCCCTCCCCTGAGGCCGATAATTAAAGTTGTTTATATGCCCTCGGTCCAGCATATCTTGAACCTCATACTTCCCAGAATGCGGCCTTATGAAATGAGTGGAATTGTAACAGGACCCCTAAAACCATCTATGTTTGTAATGATGTGCAAATATTCAACACTGCAGTATCTCGCAGCATCAAAACCTTGTCTAGTTCGCTTCGGCAACGAAAATAAACAGCACACTCGGCACTGAAAACCACGTCCACCTTACCACACACAACAAAAGAGCCCCCTGGCGGGCGCGAGCTCCTGACTAAATGTTGATTCGACCCTGTTTCAAAGTTAATCGACCACCTGTTCTTACACCAGCCCATTAAGATCGGTGGCCGACAGCTGTTGAGTCTTGCCACGGACAGCTGTCGGCTCCCGTCTGTCAACAGCATACCAGGGAGTGAGCGCTTCACAGCACGCGGAGCCGGTGTTCATGGGCGCTCGCTGTGTGCACAGCCTGACATGCAGGAGATGAGCGCTCTCCACAGCGCATGGGGCGTACTGTCGAGGGATTGAGCATACAAGAGTATGCACTGTTAGCTCATATGTTGAGGGCTTCTGCGTACGCCTCTGGTTTGTGTCAAATTTCTTGCCGCCTGGGGCGCTTCCTTTACACAACAATAATCCTGCGAAGCATTTTCCAAAGCGAAGGCCCGATGAGAGGCGTGTACCACTCGGCAGTGCTTCCGTTACAGCGGCGTTTTAGCTCACGGCGCTACGGCCGAGCACCATGAGTAAACGGGACACTAGCAATGTTTCAGATGTCCGGGATCTGTGCCCGTGGTATGCCATCATGCTATTATGATTTGATATGTTATCGTGATATTGCTGTCAGGAGTGTAGTTTCCTATTCAGTTGGGGGCTGCAGCTCCCCCCCCCCCCCCCCTCCCATCCCTCAACTTCATGAATAAAGTGGACCAAACCCGTGTAGAAACCCGTTTGTTGGCGTCTTTCAGGGTAGTTTTTTTCACTGTCCGGCCCTACATTTCATTTTGCGAAACTAAGCCCCTGATTGTAATGTAATAACAGGCACTAGTTATATATGTATACATATATATATATATATATATATATATATATATATATATATATATATATATATTGCGCAAGATTATGGAGAGCGTATCGCGGGCATTATTATGCGTTTCTGCCAATGCATATTACGATCGGCGTGATGCAAGAATTCTAGGGGGCCGTCACCCAAACATCCTTCTTCCCAGCTCTAGTTGCCCCACTCCGTCTCGGAGCCGGTAGCGGCCGAGACACAGCAAGGCCGGTGCCGTTGCACGAGCGCAGGTTGCAGAACCTCTGCCGTGGCTAGCTCGTTGGTCCCAGAAACCCAGCCACGCTGCTGTCGGCGATGCCTGAGGATACCGATGGACATGTAAAGCGTTTGTAGCGGTGCATAGCCCTTTCTTACGCCTGTAAATGGACAGTAGCTCAGATTAGAGACGCAGCTTTCCAAAAATATCAGCCCGCATCCCTGCCC